CATACCTTAGCCTCAACAAATGAAACTATTCCTTGAAAATCACCAATCAAATCTCTGTCTGCTCTCAAAAATGGAACATTGCCTTAAAATACCAAAATAAAACATACTACTTTCATAAAATTGTTTTAAGTTTCTCATGAAGGGATAATTGTTATCAAGCCAATTTACAGTTCAGAACAAACTTCTTCTCTCTCCAAAAACAATACAAATGACAAACCACACACCTGTTGGAGACATAAACTCAGCATTCCTTCTGCTCTTAACTTCATGGGCCAATCCACAAAATCTAAGGTATGCCTGTAAGAAGAAATAGCAAATTAATCCTTTAAGTGACCAAGACAGAATTTCTCCTTACAATATCAATACAATAATCAAGCAGATGAGTGATGAGAATAAAGAAAAATATCAGGTAGGGAATTATTAGTTGATCCAGTACCAAATTCTCTAAACCAACACTATAAACTTTGTATGTTGGACAGTAAGGGGAACTCCTAATCATATCTTGGGAGTAAACGGGTTAAAGGAAATAGAGCCTCATGACCATTAAAGAAAATGCTTTTTTAGTCTATCAATGTAGATTCAATCACTACAAAAGGGAGAGTACAATTTTTTTTCTTTTTTCACAGGACAATTAACATTTGTTGCACTTTTCTCCACTTATAACCAGGGCTGTGGTCTAGCAGCGCCTGGTGGCCCTTGGTGCCTTACATTCGCTCTTGGGCGACTTCGGAATTTTAGTTGTTTCATATAAAAGTATATGCTGGGCACCCTGGATTTCAAAGTTTCAGAGCAGTGGGCTCCCTTCACTTTTTCATAGAGTACAGCCTTGACAATACTTGACAAAATTTTTGGGACTTTCAACAAAAAATGGAAAATGAGCCCATTTTTAAACCATGTAGCCAACAATGCCCCCCTCTCCATTTGCAAAGTTGATGAAAATCCTTAACACAAACCCAAAAAGGTGGGTTTTTTTTGCAGTTTTCTTTTCCTTCTCGGCTAATGAAAAATGCACTCACCTCTATACCTCTGCAATTTGCAGCATCTGTTAGAAGAATATTATCTACAGGAAAATCAGAAATAAGAAATATTCAATGACAGCCAATCCATAGGCCATTGCAGAAATGCGAGAGGACTGGGACGAGTTTCTTATATTGATTACATTGAAAATCTACCCAGCCAAGTTTGAGAGTTTTCAGCGGAAAAGTGTCCAAATTGGAGCCTTGTAAAAGTTGCAAAAATTCCATACAAACCCTTAAAATTTTTTGCCCAATCCACCCAATGCATACAAACTCTCTATTTTAGGTGATATTTGAAAAGCTGTCATTTTGCCATTTTCCTCCTCTAAATACTTCTGTTCTTGCTTAAGACTCTCAAATTTAGTTGATCTTTCATTTGAATACCTTAGTTTTTCAAACAAACGGAAAACAACCACACTCTTTCCCAGTCCTCTCACATTTCTGCAATCGCCTATTATGTTGACCATTATCTCTGTGACCTCAAACAGTGAATAGCATCTTATTTCTCCCCACAATATCACCCCTGAATCAAAGATTAAGGTCATGAGAATAACACAAATGATCACCAACTAAAAAGGCTCTTGATCGTTGAAGAAATTCTCCTGGTGAGCACCTTAAGAAATGTATAGAGAACAGTTTGGAGAACTTGCACACTGGTGTTAGAGTGTAAAGGATTAAAAACTTTATATTGAATCAAATTTCAATAAATCCTTGCAGGGAATTCAAAGAAGAATAGCTCCCCTGCTATGAGTATCTCATGACTATTGCTTGACATGCACAACCAACATGTTATGTACAGAACAAATTAATAAGATCTTTCTTTGAGAATTATCACCTTTGCAGGGTTCATAAAGCTCCACATTGTCGGGCCATACACCATGTTCTGTGCCTGAAAATATAGATTCACAGCAATTTAAACATTTTTCTTGCTGAGTAATTAGTATGATTTCCACACAGCTCTGTGCATGCAGCTCTTGGATAAAGAAAATAACAGCAAAAACAATAGACTGCCTTTGTTATTATGGCTTTGTATGCTTAATAAGACTACATGCTGTCAAATTCAGAAGTTGTTGGATGAAAAAAAATTCTGAGAACAACTAAAACTGGATGAGACCATAGGTAGAGTCCAATTTGGATGTCAGCGGAATTTTTTTTTAATCCAAATATTTTCAAGACTGGAAAAGCACGTAGTCCTCTTACTTATTACTTATGTAGCTAGTCAGTTATAATTAGGCATTGCTCAGTCAAGCTATTGTTCTTTAATTTTTTAAAACTGTCAAATTAAGGATTATACTTTGGATATTTTGAAACAATTTCAGATTAACTACCTACTATTCAATTAGTCTTACAATAGTAGGGGGCTGTGTAGGAATCTTACCATGCAGTCTTTCTAATAAACATATTTCTTAGGTTGGATCTCATGAAAACTAAGAGATTGTGCCTGTCACAAGATGCCATCTACAGAATATAATAAAAGAGAAGCAAGGAAGTGTAGAGTCATCTTCAGTTTTAGTTATCAATATGGCAGGTTTGTTTTATACAGTCATACAGTTGAAATTTATTCATTCACTAAGTTTGATTGTACTATATTCAGAGCTCTTCAGCTGATGTTCTGGCAAAGAGTGAAAGGCTGTGGGCATCACCTACCTAATTAAGGGAGGGGGTGTATGAGGGCATGTTCCTCCAGAAAATTGTGAAAGAACCAGCTAAGTGATGCATTCCTTTATTCTGAGTTTCAATTTCCACTGTTGGAAAGTGTTCAAAGCGAGAAGAAAGCGAACAAGGTGTAAATTGAATTTAGAAGGATAATTAATTTTACTGGTACTATGACCGACAATTAGCTTTCTCAAAATCAACAGTTTACCAAAAAACCTGAAATATGTGAGAAAGATAGTTCCAGCGTACGCGTGAGGGCGTATATTTTGCGTGAGTGTCACGCTTAATGCACGAGACTTGAGATACTTGTTGATGATACTCACGAAGCATGGAAAGTTCTGGGAAATCTTTCGTATTCATGAAATTTTCTTTTCACAGCTAGTGCCCATCGGGGGTAGCCACACTTATATCACGAGATATGATGTTACATGACCACATAGGAAGGATACAGAAATGCCTTAATAGACATTACATTATAAAGATAACTGGGACGTTTCCCAAGAAAACTTACTCATTGCCGCAATCACAGCATCGGAGATCGGCCCTCCAGCCGCCATCTTGAATGTTGTAAGAGCGCTGGGACCTAATCCTATTTTTACGTCTCGGTCGCAAGTTTTTCAGTGATCTGAAAGATTCTTCGTCACTCAGGAATAAATGGTTTCGAACCTGCTAAAAGTGGTATGATTGTAGTATACAATAGAGAGTATGTCAAAATTCACTCGAGAGCCGAAAACTCCTTGGAGCCTGCTTTGGAGGAGTAGTTGCCAACATCGGCCAGATGTGACTGCGCGCAGCCTGGACGGGAATACTCAAATTTCAAATTCTGTTCAAAGTTCGAAGCCTCCCCCACTTCCCGTACGTTTAAACCAAGATCGTGTTTTGAAACAGTGCTAGAACTCTCTAGTGCCAGATTACAACAGTATAAACCTGGCTTCTTACACGTGTTGTTCGACATCTGGGTCCGCTAGCACGAAAGTAAATGAATACTCCCTCGGAAGAAAATGAGAAAAGACATCGCGAGAACGTTTCTACGCCTGAAAGTGAACCGAATGTGCTGGAAGCAAGCACGGTGAAGTGTTTTCCCGCTGTCAAACGCAGTTTTCGTCAAAAACAGAGTAATTGGAGATGGAGATGGAAGTATTTCACTCGGTATGTTTTTCTTATTTTATCGTCTTCTCTTTGTGGCAAGATTAAAACCTTTTCCTGCTTGTGGAATCGAGTAGTTTTACATGAATTGATGATTGGCGGCAATCAAAAGTAATTGTTGGTACTTCAGCATCCTTCGACATGTTCGAAGATATTCTGTACGGTAATGAACTCCCCGTGGATTCCAGAGGCAAACATCACATAATATTGGGTAATACGAGTTGTTCAACTCTAATATCACAAAGATGCATTTTTCCTGATATTTCAGATGTATGCGTTTGCAGAATGTTTTTTGTGTAAGTGACGGGCGTTGATGATTATTTTAGCAGCAAAATATTTTAGAGCAGATGGCTTCTCTTAGTTCTTCAACATCGTAATGAGTCGATTCGTCGATTGGATGTGAATTTCATCTCAGGTTTTTGAAGTTTCATAAAAGTATTTCACGAACAAAATCCAAATTTTTACCCTTGCTTGTCAATTTCATTGGTCAGTTTGTATTATATTTCTTTCATCGCGTCAGTTTTTTCTGTTCAGGCATGAAATTGAAAACAATCGGTGAAAACCCCATTTGTAGGTGGCGGTTATTGAAAGCTTCAGTTATTTTAAGATTTTGTATCGATCTTCCTTAAGTATCGAGACCACTTGGAACGACTGATGAAAAGAATATTTTGGCACGCATACAACATCATTCATCGACCTCTAAAACACAACGATTGCTTATTCATAGTTTATAACTTGCCCAACCACAGAAGCTAAACAATTTCGGTTCCTGACGTGGATAAATTCCTTTAATTTTAATAATCCTGAACACATTATCTAGGCGGAAGATTTTTAATTCGATTTGCAATGTGTATTGGTTTATTTTCCCGTCAACTGTGTAAACACGTTGAAGTCCTAGCTTTGTTTGGAATGGTTTTCCCCAGCCATTAGAGTTTCGTCGCCCAAAATAACACTTTGGAATTAAGTTTCTAGAATCATGAACTTCACATGGGTTTGCGGTTGGTTTTTCACTCCTAAGGATTTTGGATCTTGCATATGATTTACAAAAATAGTGGGCGGTTTATCGTTCTTTATGGCATACACGTGCACCCATTGTTTTTAATGAACTTCGTATTGATTTACAGCGGCGAAACCTCAAAGCAGATTTCTATAGTGGAGTAAAACTGATGCCTTTCGGTTACAAGAGTGTTTTCGTCAACAGCAATTTCAAATTGTTGTGAAGAAAACATTATTAAATGCAAGTCAATTCGGAATCATATGTGATTTCTCTTGAACATATCTAGCTTCAAAATTTTATGCTGTTGGTTATAGACAGTTTTGTTTTTTCACTGTGTTGGCTTGCATTTCGTAACTCTTCCTTCCAAGCTTAAGCATATGATTTCCTGTAATTAACATATGTGCTTCCGTAGGCCTAATTTTAAGAACTTTGCTGTATTTGTTTGATTATCAAAATGCCATGCTCTGCTAGGGAAGTGGAACGGCTAGTTGACAACTGGTCCAGATCTGAAATCTGAAGACAGCCACATTACCTTTCAGTCATAGGAAACTGTTTGGCATAATTATTTCTCATGTTCCAAAAAAAAACAATGACAACATAAACAAATACAGTTCATTTCCACATGTCTCCTGAATTAGACCACAGATGATGCCAAAGTGAAATGAAAACAAAAATTTCATTGTTAATTAGAGTACAAACAACAGACAATTTTCACCATTTACTATTTGTAAAGACAAATTCTGTTCAGGACATTTTTTGTCAAAAGTAATGCATATTAAAATCTCAGAGGATGTCAAAGATTTCTGACACAAAAAAAATTTTTAAAAATAATTATGCTTGCTTTTCTTATTTGTTTGTTGACAGGGCCCTGCAGCCAATCTCAGAACAAGGCGAAAACACAAGAGATGATGTAAATAAAGTTGATGAGAATGACCGAAATTCAGCAGGGGTTGGGAGTAATGAAAGGGATCTAGAAAGAGAGAGCATAGATTTACACAATAAAGATAAAGTGGATTGTGCTTATGACTTAAAGGATGAAAATGGTGGAAATGATAATCAAGAATCACTGGCATCTAAAGAAGATTACAGTGCCTGTAACAAACTAATTGAGAAGTTTCAAGAAGCAGTGTTAGACAATGCAGTAAGAATCATCCAAGCTGCTTTTAAACGTTTCAGAGAAAGACGTCATTTTCTGAAACTAAAGAAAGCAGCCACTGTAATACAAAGGAGTGTAAGACAGTGGCTTCAATTAAGACAGACTAATGAATGGCCTCGGCTAAAATTTCCAAAGCATGAAGGAAAGCTTGAAATGGGGAAACAAAAGAATGGTTCAAAGCCAGATCCACTGAATGCAGATGTTGACTATAGTCATGCTGAAAGCAAGGAAAAAGAAGATGAAAAACAACCATCAAATGAAGGATTTGAGGATAAAAGAGCCAACTGCCAGTGTAACTGCAAGGAACTGATTCATGGTAAGGATGAAATTTGTGCACAAGAATCAACTGCAGATGAAACTGACCAATTTGACATTTCATTTGATAGTCTTGACACTGAGTCTTTCATGGGGAGTGCTGATAATCTCAGTGAAACAGATGTCTGCATAGACCAGAATGGAGAGAATTGTGCCATTGGTGATGCAGATGCTCTCTCACTAGCTGACAGTGGCATCGACATGTGTTCTGATACTGTCCAAGAAGTTGCCATTATTGAGGAATGTGAATTTTCCAAGATTGAAAGTACTTTTCCAAATACCTCAAATTCGTTTACAAGTGAAACATCTTATGACCAAAAATAAGAAGAATTTGATCCTCATTGGCATAAGAATATCTTGGAAATATTTCAAAATCTCAAAAAAAATTTTCCTTTACAGATTTATCTGATAGGTGAAAGTGGACATAAGTGAATCTTGGGGGTTTTGTCACTTTTCCTTTTCTTCTGTATAGTTTCTCAGTGAAAATATCAACAATATCTTGATCATATAAATGTATTGAAGTTTAAGTGATTGGGTTGAAAAACAAGAATCAGTGCTCAATATAAAATGTATTCTAATGCAGATTAGAGCTATTAGTATTTTTCTCATGTTTTATTTTTAACACTTGAACTATGGACCCAGCTTAATTTTCAGCTCTGATGACAATTCACCCCATCAGTTTCAAGTTTCTTTTCTTTTCAAGTATTTTTTCCTACAATTACTTTCATTGCAAGTAGTTGCTCTTCAGATGATTTCAACACAACTCAACCTGCTTATAATGTGAATCCAAGAAGTGATTAATTTGGAACTTCTCCATACAATATTAATACATTGTTAAGTAAACTTGTGTTGAGAACAGACCAACTCATCAGCCAGAGATTGTCATTTTGATATCACACTAAGTTCTCTCAACCAATTTTCAGAGAATTTTATAACAACCCAACAGGAGAACTACTCTTCTCACATGTGGAATGAAAGGGTTAAAAATAGATGTTTGTAACAAGCTTTAGAAGCAGCTTCCAAGAGATGGATGGATTGGGTTTTTTGAAAATTTTCCCCATTTGCTTACTAGATGAGCCCACAACAAATTTTTGTTTGTAGGTGGTAAATTTAAACTTTGCAAGCTGGTTAGCTTGCATCACAGTCAGTCTTTACTGCCAGTAGAGATGCACTGTACCATGGATTTTATCATGCATCCAGCTGCCATGCAGGCTACTAGCTGGTATGCCAGAGAAGTGTGTCAAAATAGTTGCACTCACTTGGAATAGAGGACTTGTTCCATTCTTCTTAGACATTGAAATGAATAAGATAAAATTTAGACATGTTTGTATGCCATTGGAGAAGTCATTCTTAGTTGGGATGTGGCTGTAATGAGATTTGAATCTGTGGGTTGGGTTTTCTGATCTAAACTTATTTCAAAGTATATCTGCACAGTCCTAATTCAGATAACTTGAAGTTTGTATAGTTCACCTTTCTTGAATTCTTAAGCTGTTTTTTTTTTTGCATGCTAATAGCCAAAAAGTATAAGAATACCTGTAGTTAGCAATAACACTTTACTATAGTCCCATCCCTAAAAGGAAAGGGGAAAGTATGTGAAGTATGAAATAGTCATTTTTAATTCAATTTGTTGTCCAAAGGTCCCAAAAAAATGCATTTAAAGTGGTTTAAAAAATTTTGTTGAATTTTATATTGAATTGTGTATAAATTATGGCAGTTGCATATTGTCTTCCTCAATCTTCAGGCAACCAGAATATTCAATGCTTATTTATGATAAATGCAAGAAAAATTTTTAATAAAATCTGGAATTGACAAACTGTTTTGTAGTTTCTTCTGCCTTTTTTTGCCCTAATATTACCTAATAATACACTGCAATCTTAGAACAAAGCTTAGTTTCTAAATTAAAGTAATGAATTGTCACGCAATCAATTGTTCTTGGGAAGGAATATGGTATTGGGTGTCTGCAAGGGTTTTGTCTACAGAAAGTATTTTAATTCTCTTTTTCTCAGGCTGGAAATGTTCCCTATACCCTCCAAACCGCCCGTCTACCAGTATTCACGAGTGCAGAGTACAAAACATTGACTGCAACAAAATAAAGGTTCTGAAACTCGGGAACGAATCAAAGGAGTTCGTCATTAATTTTACAGAAGTGGTGACGGGCGCTTATTTCAATTTACCGGTAACCTTTAACTAGCAACTAATTTCTCGTTACAATATCACCCCTGAATCACACATTAAGGAAAGATGCTCTTGATTGTTGAACAAATTCTCCATATCAGCACTCAAGGGAACGTAGATAAAAATAAAAGCGTAGATGGAAATTTCGCAAATGGCTTATTGAGTTCTCCTTTATCAACAACAGTAGCGTTTGTTCGACGCGTTTACTTTGCCTTCGCCATCGTTGTTTGCCTAAGTTCCCTGATGGCTGCAAACTTACAAAACAAAATATTGCAAGTTACGAAGAATAGTAATGTAAAAAGAGGAGGTCAAACCGGTGAGAACCTTGGAGAACTTGGAACAGTGATTAAACTATGGAAAACAGTCCCCCCTCTCTCCGCCTCCAGCCTTTACAAAGTTTTGAACGTAAAAACACTCACGCGTTAAACTATTTACAACCTTTTTATGAATTTATAAAGAAATAGATCGTCAGAATAAGACTATCCTTTTTATTCCCTAACAGTGTCTTAATCGTATTATTTACAACGGCTTTTAGCGGCAGTTTTACAAATAGCACGCTATTATTTTTATCAAAACAGCATTTATAAATAATTTCAAATATTTTCTTATTCCGTAATTCAATTATTTGAAAGAGAGCTGCGTGTAAGATAATTTCTTGGCGCGCAGTCAAGATGTTGTTCCCGGCCATCAAACTATGCGCGCGTTACATTTATTGCTGGTTGTTCAAAGATATTCAGTGGTACTTTTCAGAGCAGCTCTGTAACAATTAATCAGTGTTTTGAAATAGTCCTCTTACAATTAAATTAAGAACATTGTACTATTAAAATTGTGTCAATTAATACCAAAACAGGGAGGTAATTTAGCACAAAAAATTGATTTTAACTTATTTATTCCTCCCACGATAACAATATTTTCGGGTGCAATTCCCGCGCGAGTTGTTTGGAGGCCAATAGAAATAGATATTGGGAGATTGAGTAGTCGACACTGTCCACTGAATTAGTATATACTAACATTAAATATTTTTTTTTTTTTAGTCTTGTGCATAAAATATTGCGTAGAAACGCACGGTTGATTCAGTTTTTGATTGACCAGTCAGTAACATCCTGAAATTGATTTCCTTCTTTTCCCAACCAATCAAAACCAAGCCACGCACGTGACAAGAAGAACACGTCACGTCATGTGTGGTATCTTTTTCTTTGATTGGATGATGAGATAGTGAAACCAACAAAAAGCTGCCAATACGTGACCAATCAGAAACTTTCTATAAATTGGAGAATACGATACGGTTAGACGTCACGTGGTTGTTGTTGATAATGGTTCGAGGTTTCTTTTCTAAACCAGATTCATTTTGTTATTTTGCGAAAATTTTCCAGCGGCCACCAATAAAGGGTGTGATTAGAATCCTCTGGCTTCTTGATGTTGATGTGTCATTTCAATACTGCAAAGAGAAAATTGAGAAAACGTGTCAAAAATTTTTAACTAGGAGTAGATAATCTGTTAACGACTGTCTTGCTGGAAGGGTAACTTCCTTATTGATCAATTTGAAGAAAGGGTTGGTACGTTACTTTATTTGAATGCGGGCAAAATTTTTTCATTGTATGTGATGAAAACTGTTGAGATCTTTTTCTCGTAGAAGCAAATCACCTTTTTTTTTTGTTACGGTGGCCAATTTACGATTTCAACTGAGTTGATATAACCAAATTCAAATGTGTGCACTACTTCTCTTCGTGTAATAACTCTAAATTTGAATGAATAGAAGCTGTAGAATAGAGAAGGATGGTTTTTTGTCTTGCCACGAGAGCTCAACGAAGAAAAACTACTTAATCCCCTCGTGGAATCAAATTTTACATGAATTCCGCGCTCCGACGCTCTACCACAGACTCAGTGATGAGTTGGGCCATTTTAGGTTCATATCAGACAAGTTATCCACCCATAGCGCTAGGATCATAGGACCCGTCTCCTGTATCTCCTTTATACTGGTTAGCAAGATACGTCAAAGAACCCACGCACTTCTCGCAAAAGCCTCGAGCGAGTCAATGGAATAAGAAAAATGATTAACTTTAAACTCGGTAATAAATTGAAGAATATATATTTTTCCGACAACGTAGCTGTATTACTACAACGAAATCTCGTCTCACCTTACAAATGAGCTTGATCAGGTCACGAGAAACTTTGTCTACGTCATCCAATGACGTTGCCAAGTAAATCTCATTGGAATCTAGCACAAGGTTTCTGAGCTCCCGATATATCACTTTAGACCCAATCCCCACCGCAATAACACGTACTCCGTTCCTCTCAAGCGGGTGAACTGCGTGATCTAATGAGAACGTGTCAGATTCTGTGGCAGACTGCGCGCCTTCTGTAATGAAGACTAAGACTTTGGTTGGCTGAGTAGCTTCGGACTGACTGGGTGGTCGTTTTGCCTTAAACATCTTCCTGGCTGCAACCAAGGCTTTCTCCTTTCTGTTGCCTCCACCGAGACGGGGTAGAAACCCTACAGCACGCTGGAGAATGGTGGAGTCGCGGTAACTGTTCATCCCGATGGTAGTGAAAGCTTTGTCACCGTATATCACGACTCCGACCCTGGTGTCCTGTTTGGAGATATCGTAAAACGAAGAGACTCGCTGAACAAGTTGTTTCTGTTTTTGGTATCCCTGTTCACCGGCGCTATCCGAAGAGTCGATAGCAAATCCGATGTCTACGCTTTTGAAACAAGACTTTGGCTGGTAATCACCGGCTGATCCCTGTGAATCTGGAAAATAAATGATGGATTAGAACTGAGGAGACGAAATAAATGATTTTTAAAGAATGCTGGGTTACTTCGAGAAAAGACGAGTATAGTTGTCGTCATGGTGTGCCAAGATTCTAAACACTCTGGTTCAGCCTTGGCACATGATGATCACAACTGATTCAGACACTTGTTCTTAATCATGAAGTCAGCAAATTAAATTAGCAACACCTCCAAGACACTTACTTTCAGCTACGTCGCAGGCTGCGCGAGCAATCGCATGCGATTTTGTGAGCAGGTCATCAAAATCATTTACAGTGAAGATGTCCTGATCCTTTTCCACAATCAACCTTAGTTCATCGCGCGAGAACTGATCACCAACACCCACCGCAAACAGATTAACACCAAGCTGAAACAACGGCAACACGGCTTCCTCCAAAGGCGTAGCTCGCGGATCTGAAGATTGCTGGCCGTCTGTTAGAAGGATCAGTACATTTGGCAGCTTTGCACGGTCGCCTTTCAACTCGCCAAAAAGCGAGACAGCTGCCATTTCAAGACCATTGTCGATGCGCGTTTGACCACCCCAGTACGGGATCTTGTCAACAGCATCTTTGAATTCGTTGTTGTTGTTGTACTGTCCGAAACTGATCCACAGCGTGGCATCTCGGTTGTAAGTGATAACACCAACGTCCGTCTGCGTCTGTGAGATCGAGAACGTGTCTGCCACTTTTTTGATAAAGTCTTTTTGTTTTGGGTAGTTTTTGGCTGTGATGCTGCTTGACATGTCCATAATGAAAGCCAAGTTGATGCGTTCTTTACAGTCGGCTTCAAACAACAAATAAATATAATCAGTCAATAATTTCGGACTTACCGTATACAGACTTTGCAAGTCCACATTACGCATTTGCACGGGATCAAAGCGGGGAATCCCGACAGGGCAGCACGAGTCCATCTTGCTCGCGCGCGTAGCCAATAAGAGCACAGTATTCGCCACGTCTTTGTGATAAATAGAAATATTTACCTGGTTGGAAAGGCTCCACTTTGCACGTTTTTAAAGCAATGTCGTTAGCCATGTTAGCCAAGTTAGCAAAATCACTGACAGGGAACACATCTTCTTTTCTTTCGGTAACTTGATAAAGCTCGTTAAGATCGACCTCCTCTCCAATAGCCACTGTATATATGCGTACACCAAGTTGTCGCAAAGGAGCGACAGCGTCCTGAAGAGGTATCATATCTGGATCTTGACTCTGCCGTCCATCTGTAAGGATGACCATGATTTTACGTTTTCCCGAGCGTGTACCGCCGCTGATGGAAAACATTTGAACAGCCGCTAGCGTCAGCGCCTTATCAAGACGCGTCCGTCCCTTGGTATGCGGAACACGATCGACAGCGCTTTCGAATTGTTTTGTACCGGCCTTGTCTCGGAAGCTGACTTCAACCTGAGCATCACTGCTGTACGATATTAGACCGAGCTGATGTTCTTCTACGGAGGGGCCGAACGCAGAGGCAAGGACTTTGACGAAGTCTTTTTGTTTAATAAAGTTCTCGTCGCTGATACTTCCCGATGTATCGATCACGAAGGCCACGTCTGCATCATCAGAACATTTCGCAACTGAAAAGATACGAGAAAAAAATGGAATACGAGGAGTTAAAGAAATAAAGATAAACAAAGTTATACTTTAACCCGTTGATCCCTGAGAGTGACCAGCACCTAGTTTCTCCGTACAAATATCTTTAAATATCTTTCAGCATTATAGAAATTTGAGCCAAGTAGTGGTGAGAAAATAGCCCAATTGACGAGAAAAATCTTTGAAGCTTCTTAGAAGGAAAAGAACTGAGCTTCTTGCTTTCGCTAAGGGCCATAACAGCCGTTTTTACCTTGAGGTGGACGCGTTATGATGTCGCACGTTTTACTGGCCAATTGACGAGACCTATTAACCAAGTTATCAAAGTCCTTTATGTTGAAAATGTCCTCCTCTTTCTGTACTAACTTGCGAAGCTCCGCCATTTTAACTTGATTGCCGATCGCGACCGCGTGAACCTGGACTGATAGGCGGTGCAACGGAAGGACAGCTTGTTGCAGAGGTATAGCGTCGTAGTCTTGACTCTGTTGCCCATCTGTGAGAATGATCACGACTTTTGGGACACCAGGCCGCGCTCCGCTTTCTTCTGTGAATACGTCCTCCGCTGCGAGCTTGAGAGCCTTGTCAAATCGTGTTCCACCGGCCGCGAAAGGAAGTTGTCGCACTATCGTGTTGAACGCGTCCTGCTTCATATGATCTCTGAATCGAATGTGCAGGTTTGCACTGCTACTGTAGGTAATAAGGGCAAATTGAGTCATTGTTGGAGCCATGTTAAATGATTCAGCGACTCTTGTCACAAAGTCCTTCTGCTTCTCAAAGTCTTGCTCCGTCATGCTCTCAGACCCGTCCATGAGAAAAGCTACATCAGCTTTTTCGGCGCAGAGAAGTTCTGGGTTCAGAGGGATAGGAAAAAAAATCAGTACCTGAAGCTCTCAGGTCAGACGATTTTTGTTCTATTGAAAAATTGGGGACCCGGTTTACTCCTGTCCAGCGGATTAAACGCTGTCTGGCAGATAGATGGTTTATTCTGTGAAGACTGAGTTATTTGCAGGATTGCTGTATTGTTTTGTACCTATCGCGTAGCTGGGGCTACAGTTACTGTGCTAATGCTTCTAAAGCAACTGGTATTTACTCTACTCGGGAAGCCAAAGCACAAAGCACAAGGAACGGGAAATTTACAAAAACTGACCTCAGTTAACGCCCCCAAGAACGCAGGCAAGGTTTGAGTAAACGGGAAGTTTGAGATACTTTTCTTTGAGATTTCCTTTGCTGTATGATTGAGAATATTTGAATTCAAATTTTTAAACCAATCGAGTATCTTTCCAGTCTCCTTATCGGATCCCTCACGATCAAGTGGATTAACTACAGATACAGTAAGGCCTATGTACGATAACAAAGCTTTATCGCGCTTCCATTCTTCCTAGTTTGAAGTATATAGTAAGTATCTATTGAATTTTAACGCTTTACGCACATGCTTTGGCTGCACTGCTCTAATATGCGGTTGCCTAATTTGTGTATGCCTCGTTAAAATAATATTCTGGTCTAAGCTAATAACATTCTCTTAAAGCTTTATTCTTCAACAACTTACCAGGTCTTTTAATTATTTCACAAGTTTGGTTTCCAATCTTTTTCACGTCATCCAACAGCTCGTCAAATTTATTCACGGCGTGAATATCTTTTGGATTTCTTACCATTTGTTGAAGCTCGACCATATCGATTTGTCTCCCGATCGCTAAGACGAAAACTCGGACACCAAGATGACGCAAGGGAAGAACGGATTTCTCCACTGGCACAGCATCAAAATCGGCGCTTTGTTTGCCATCTGTAAGGATGATCAAGACTTTTGGAAGATCAAAACGAACTCCACCGTTAGAAGAAAACAACCCGTTGGCTGCTACGCCGAACGCCTTGTCAAATCGGGTGCCGCCGGCTGCAAACGGAATTTTGTCGACTGCGTCTTGGAAACTGCGCAGGTCCAAAAGGTCTCCAAATTTCACATTGATGTCTGCGTTACTGCTGAACGAGATGAGACCGAGGTGGGACTTTTTTTTGCCGACATCGAAGGCTGCTGCAACTTTCTTGATAACGTCTTTCTCTTTTTCAAAGTCTTTCTCTGTCATACTTTCAGATGCATCCACCAGAAAAGCAATATCAGCGATTTCAGAGCAACCTATTTACCAAAGGAGAAGGATACAGTTTGGGATTTTAGATAGTTTTCATTTAATTTGGAAACTCTTAAAAAGTGTCAAAGTTTGTATTCCTTTTTTCCATATAAACATGCACTATCCTTGCTTTCGTTTGTTATCGGATTGTTTTTTCAAGTTCACCTCACTTTTTTGCTTCAAGTCCACTGAGACGGTTACGAAGGTGCGGCACATGTGAAGAACGTGAATTATCCGACCCCCTTTGTCCCACCTTGTTCACTGATAGCGAAAATGCCCGAACTCAACATATTATCTAATTACATGCTTGCAGTCTACGCGAATTGGGGTCTTGAAGAAACACAGTTTGTTTGTCTGTTGGGTTTTTTTTTTTGTTTTTTGTTTTTGTTTTTTTATTTCGTCTTAGCTAAAACGTACCTGCACACGGTTGAACCTTACACTCCTGTGTCTGCCGATCCCGACCAGCGCATTGTTGTCCGCCATAGGCTGGGGATGGGTTTGTACAGGTTCTGGTCCTCTCTTGCACCCCTGTGCCACACGACTTTGAGCAAGCCGTCCACTCGGTCCAGCCACTCCACTGACCATCCACTGTGGATATGAAAAAATTTTCAGCAAGAAGGCAAATTTGGTAACTGAAATTTCGATGCAGTGATGCCATTTACCAATTTCAGGTTGATGATCCGACTGAATAGAAGAGCTCATTAACAATATTAGGCTTTGATTATCTTTAAAAGAAGAAAGAACTACACGCCAAGTGTGTGTGAGAAACCAAACGTGGTGAAATTTTACCTGAGAAAAACTGCTCAATCCCTTACTCCGTCTGTAAGTTTTCAATTCTTTTTTCTAAATTTGTATAAAATTTTTTACCTGGGCAAGTCTGTGTGTTTCAAGGCCGGGTATCCTCGGGTCTACCAGAGCAGCTTTTCCCACCGTGCTTCGGGCGGGGACTGGTACAGGTTCTTGATCGAGATTGAAATCCACCACCGCAGGATCTGGAACATTCCCGCCATTCTGTCCACTCGGCCCAGTTTCCATCAACTAAAATAATTTTATAAATAGTTTAAGAATTCCGAGCGAAAACATCGCGCAATAATTTTGAAACTCACAACTCTTGTCATCATCATTTCTTTTTACCCACGTAGCGACCATAATTAAAATGTAAGTGCCAAATCCTCCAATAATGGGATAATTTTATAGTTTACATTTTTAACACTTTCGAAACGACTTCTTTAGAAATCGCCCTCGATAAATTATCTTCAATTTTTTCGTTCCACATTTCCAAATACGGAGGACATCGGAAATAATAGTTTATACGAGATGAGGCCCATTCAAAAATTACTCGACTATTTCGGACGTCGTTTCGCAAAGATATGTAAGGTAGGCCCTCAAGGTGAGCATTCCTTTTCCATTCATTTCTCGTTCCACAGTTATTCCAACCAATCTAAAATACTGCTAAGAACCTTCCCTCGTGCATATTGGAAATAATCACTCGTATCAAGTATCAGTTATCTTATGTCAGGTTTTTTTTTTTTTTTTTTGCATCAGTTTACCTGGACATGCGTCAGTGCCACAAGGTCTGGTCTCGTCTCCGCGACCTTCGCAATCTTTTCCACCATGGGCGGGGCTGGGTTGAGTGCACGTGCGGGCACGTGTCTGAACTCCTCCACCACAAGTTCTTGTGCATTCTGTCCACGGTTTCCATTCACTCCATTTTCCATCAACTATGTGCACAAAAAGAAAAAGGGTGAGATTCGATTGGCATTCTATTCACTTTGCATTACTTAGCATCGTTTCGCATCGATTTTACCTGGACATGCATCAGAGCTGCAAGGTCTAGTTTCGTCTCCGCGACCTTCACAATCTTTTCCACCATGGGCGGGGCTGGGTTGAGTGCACGTGCGGGCACGTGTCTGAACTCCTCCGCCGCAAGTTCTTGTGCATTCTGTCCACGGTTTCCATTCACTCCACTGTCCATCAACTGTGTACAAAAACCAAGGGTAAAATTCATTTGGCATCCTTCGGTTAATGTAAAGTTTTCTTTCAATGATAGAAATATTATTGCGAAATAAATAAAAATGTAACTAACTTTTTCTTGGTTATTTTTTATTTTAAACGTTTTAATCAGTACTTATAGTTATTTCAGTAATTAAAGTTTCCAAGACTTATCATTCTTTTTGAAGTGACAGTGGAGTTTTGCTTACGTCGAAACGTCGTCGACGAACTTTTTTTTTTTTTTAGCCTTTTTCAAAAATGTGCCTTAATGGTTTTGGAAGGCGCCGGAGCGTATTCCGATTTCCGTACCATGAACGAGGCGGCCAGAGGAGTTATTCTCTCTCTCTGGATGGACTGCTAATCAACTGCAGGCTACTTCCTCCCCNCCCTTCTTCACTATGCCAGTCACCCACACGTAACTTTAAACACGAAGGCGCGCTATATAAGGAAGTCTTCCCTGGGAAGACCTAGGCTCATTTGTCACTCACCGTTGACGTGTGCGGGTCAAATTTAAATGCTGGTAGACGAACAAAAGGAGCTAATGAGATATCTATTGTTTACTTCCACCAGCATGGTGGCATGAGGTAACGTGCGAACCACCTACTTCGATCTCAAATTTACCGCCACAAATAAAGACAGTTTCCATTGGAGAAAGGAAATACAAATCTCAAAAATTCTTGTATTGTGATGAAGACATAAAACAATTTTGAGGAATGCGCCCGCTGTTCACTGCTTTGGAGTAGCTGTAGCTCAAGCTGACTTGACTCTAAGAGTTCTACATCACACGACGGTTGATTGACAAATGGTCCAGTGGGACCTAAGGCTCCTTTTATAGCGCACCTTCGTGTTTACAATTAAAAGAAAATTATAAAACAACGGTGAGAATCTTACTTGGACATCGTCTGGTGTTACACACTCGCGCTTGTTGTCCAGACCCCTCACACTGTCTTCCTCCATGTTCTGGCCCGGGGCTGTCACATTTTCGCTCTCGCATTTGTTGTCCAGATCCGCATGTCCTGGTACAAAGGCTCCAGTCCTTCCAAGGACCCCAACCTCCGTGAACTAGGTATATAAAAAGCAAATACCTTAAAGACGTAAAAACTACGAAATTTTTCACCCAGATTACTTTTGAATCAATATGTATACACCCATTTGATATTTTTTTACCTGCGCATATTTTTTCCTGGCATGATTTGATTTGCCTTCTTAAGCCAACGCAATCCTCTCCACCAAAAGCTGGGCGCGGATTCGTACACGATCGTTCCCTTTCTTGTGTTCCAGTGCCACAAGTCTTTGAACAGGATGTCCATCCCTTCCACTCACTCCACTGACCATGCACTGTCAATAAGAAAAACTATGTGTGATGTTCCGAAGTCGATAGGAGTTTTTTTTTCTAAAAAGAGGTTTGAAATTCTTCTCGTGCAAGTGGGTTTTACTGATAAATTCATTAAGATAACAAACTTACCCGGGCATGGAGTTGTTTGACATGCCTTCGTTTCCCGGCTGATACCAACACAGTTTTTCCCACCAAATTCTGGGCGTGGTTCTGTGCACGAGCGCTCACGTTCCTGTGTTCCGTTACCACATGACTTTGAACATGGTGTCCAGCCCTTCCATTCACTCCATCCACCGTCAACTGTATAAGAAATGTGATAAAACCACGATTAATCATGGAAAGCCTTTCATAAAACTTAATTACTCTCGACAAAAACCGACCTTAGTTTCCAAATCCTGGGAGGAAAGCTTTAAACATTTTGCTGGAGAATGCATCACATGCTTACCTGGACAAATTCTCTCGCTACATTCTCGTGTTTCATCTGCTGATCCTTCACAATCCTTGCCTCCGTGAGCAGGTGCTGGCTCTGTGCAAGTTCGAGAGCGTTTCTTGAGTCCAATTCCACATGTCCTGGAACAGATAGTCCAGTCCACCCAGCGGCTCCACTGACCGTCCACTAGAATGGTGGCAGATAAAATTTAAAGATTTATTTTACTTCTTTACTTATTTTCCTCTTGAAAATCAGTAACTGAGTAACTGCACACCAACCCCTCCCTAACCAAACAACAGTCGAGCGATAATAAGTATTATTAAAAACTGGATCATTGGATAGTGCAATTCCAGACTTTTTATTGGCTTAGCCATTACGGTATATGCGCCAATATACCATAATCTGATATTTGTACACTGTAACATCCGGTTTCTTCTTACAAAATAAAGTCGAGAAGATTTGTCTAATATCTTAAGGTCGTTTTTTTTAATAAGACAATTATTCCACTCGCGCTTGTTGGATATGAGATGATTATAGCGAACTCGGCGCTACGCGCTTCGTTGGCTATCTATCATCTCAAATCCAACGCGCGCTCGTGGAATAATTTTTAAAGAATTACGTTGAGTTAAGGGTTGGGTTGGTGAGGGGTTGCTTTGATACCGAGATTGACCCCCATCTTCTGGAGGAAAAAAGCTAACAAAGCTATCCGTTCACTTACAGCAAATCTCTTGAAAAATAAAGCACAAATTGTAGTGGAGTGTTAAACTACTTGCAGACGAAGCAGAATAAGATTTAGCTGAAGAAGAAACAGCTCACCTGGACACGCATTCTGGTTGCAGGTTTGTGTCTGTTGCCGTTCTCCAATGCAGTTCCTGCCACCAAAAGCAGGCGACGGATTGGTGCAGCTTCGTGTTCTCCTCTGTTCTCCGCCACCACAGGATTTCGTACAAGGACCCCAGTCTCTCCAATCACTCCAGCGACCATCAACTGTTTAAGAAACACTTTGTTAAGCCTTTATTGTGCATATGGTTAGTAATGGGATATGAACAGAAAGCCCATTCTTTCTTGATTAAAATCAATTGTCCTATCAAAAGTTATCTGAGTAAAATTGATGGCGGACCATCATCGAGCCTTGAAAAACTAACATTCGTCACGAGAATTCTTTTGTGGGAAATTTCCTCTGGCGAAAGGAAAGCTATGTTCCACCTTCTTAACATTTCACCAAGCTGGGTTATGCTTTTAAGTATTTTCTTAGCTGTTCATTTCACCCGTAACAATGATTTAAAAGGTTCATGTCACGAAGAGTTTTCTTGATGTTTAATCTTGAGCATCCGCTAATCGTTAATGTAAAGGAACCATGTGTTTTACTGATAACAACCGCTTAAGCAATAAGAATTGTTTCTCTTACTTGGACAGGGCTGCGTATTACATTCACGTGACCGTTCATTTTTTCCGGTGCATTCTTTGCCACCATGTGCCGGGGGAGGATTTATGCACATGCGAGAGCTGGTTTGTGTTCCACCGCCACAAGATTTCGAACACGTGCCCCATTGATTCCATTCACTCCATCTACCGTCGACTAGAAATTGGCAAAGATTCATTAATGCAAAGGAGTCACATGTTTGCTTGAAAGAGCCATGCAAACAATAGTTATTGTTAGTTTCTTACTTGGACAGGGCTGAGTGTTACATTCACGTGACCGTTCACTTTTTCCGCTGCATTCTTTGCCGCCATTGGACGGAGGAGGATTAGTACACGTGCGAGAGCTGTTTTGTGACCCACCGCCACAAGATTTCGAACATGTACCCCACTGATTCCAGACACTCCATTTACCGTCCACTAGGAATTATAAGATTCAACAGATTTTGAACTCTTGAATATTTCAATGTTTCTCTCCATAAGACCAATTTTCAGCTGATTGTCGGGAAAAAAAAAACCTGGTATTGCTTCGGTTTTGTTTTACTTCGTCGCGTGATTTTTCCAAATTAAACACTTACGCCACTTTCACAATCAAACGACTCAAAGTTAAAACTAATGGCTTGGCCATTCGTGTTTTCCTGCGCTTTAGCCAGTTTATTTGTTACTAAGTCAGTTTCAATTGGCTCCTGATTTCTTCAGATTTCTGTTCTGATTGGCTGCTGTGAGCATTTAGGTTCTGTAACAGTGAATTGAAATGTACTCCAAAGACGCTCAAAGAAGGGCATGAGATGTCAACATAACCTTCTTTAACCTTTGTCAATTCCTTACCTGGGCAACCATTTGTGCTGCAGTTGCGTGTCTCCGTGCTGGGTCCTGGACACTGCTTTCCTCCATTTGCTGGTCGTGGATTGTCGCATTCTCGTACTCGTGATTGTTTTCCTGTTCCACATGATCTCGAGCAAACACCCCAGTCATTCCATTCGTTCCACTTTCCATCCACTATAAAGGGAATAGGCCAATTGCGAATTACCTTCGGCCTCTCTTTCAAGATAAGGCCTGGTGCTCAACCATTTGTATGAAAATGAGTTTAATTTTCATGTGAACGAAAACTTCTAATCATACGAAAGGATGAGCACTAGGACTCGCTTAGTAAAACACGCCAAAGGTAATTCGGAAATGGGCTATTGGAAGACATTTCTTCCATAAACACTTCTTTGCCGAGTCATTGTGATTATAAAAGAGGTACGAGTTTTCATTTGTTCCTAATGATAGATAAAGATTATTTCATGGAAAGTACGCGCAAAAGATTTTTATTCACCAGTTGCGACGCATAGAAAAAATAAGTTCGACTGAGCGCGGCAAACGAGTGAGGTTTTTTTTTTTATGTAAACAAAAATCGTTCAAGTACTTTCCATGGTGTGATGTTTTTATTTCATAGATACTGAGATTTATATTTACTGACCGACACATTTCAAAGATTGGAAGCGAACGATTGTGAAAATGCATCGTACGTCCAATCAGAGACACGGATGATAGTACGTCACAGTAGAAATCTCAGTATTAAGCAGTACGGAGAATTGAAATTTTGATATAGGCAGTCAAAGGCTACAACGTTTCCCAAAAAGACATGCACCGATACTCAACATACCTGGACACTCTCCAGCCTTGCATGCCTCTATCTCCTCCCCAGGTCCCTTACACTCCAATCCACCGTTGGCTGGGGGAGGGTTGGTGCAAGTTCGAATACGTTTCTTGATTCCTCCATCACCACAGGTCAAACTGCAGGGACCCCAGTCATTCCACTCAGTCCAAGATCCATTTACTGCGGTAGATTTACATACGAGATATCAGTGAGCGGTGGTGGTAATGAGTACTTTTACTTTCCAAAGCGGATATGCGGGGTCTAAAGTCGTTTTAATCCCACCCTTGGCTCTTATGCGAGGCACAGTGGCCTCCAGTAATGTGCAGTCCAGTAATGTGGAGTCCAGTCCAGTCCAGTCTAGTCCAGTCGAAACATATGGTCACTACGCTACTCTGTTGTTGTTGTTGTTGTTGTTTTTTTTTTTTTTTCCGCAAGAGAAACTTAGTAAACATCAGGTACAAGACACTTTACCTGGGCAACCTTGCGTATTGCATCTCTGAACAACGTACGCTTTGCCAGAGCAGTCTCGGCCACCATTTTTTGGCGGTGGATTTGTACAATAACGTCGACGTCCCTGGATCCCGCCTCCACAAGAAACAGAACAGTCACCCCATTCTACCCAGGCAGACCAGTTACCATGAACTGAAACGCAGATCATTCAAAGAGTTATTTATATCATGAAAATCAATGACCCGATTTTCTTGATGCGACGCTTATGTTTAAATTCTGTTACATTGCCAGTGAAAACCAGAAGTAAAATATTTCTCCCGTCTTTGGCAAATTAATGGCTAAATGAGATGGGATTTCTGTCAAAAAATAGCAACTTGAATTTAAAAATCTCATAGAATGCTCTTTTATCAGTAGCCGTCAGATCTAAGCAGTATATGGAAATGTAATGAGAATTTTAAGATTGTTATACGGGACAGTAGTGGAGATATAGGGGATACTACATGGCCGCACAGGGATACGAGTTTTATCTCCTCGTGCTGTAAGTATCTCTCACAAGTGAGCAAAGCGAACATGTGAGAGATACATTCAGCATGAGAAGACAAAATTCGTAGCCCCGCGCGGCTATGTAATGTTCAGTTTATTTTATTGATACTGATGAAATTTCCACATAAAACACAACTTTTCTTATTCATTTTCGAAAGAGCAAAATATTAAGATTAAAGCGGTCACGATCGTAAAATGCCTGTCACAAAAATGTTATGAAACTCCGATATGGTTGTAAAGGAGAAATAGAGACAATAGTACTTATTTTTTCTGTTCCAAACAGTCAAATTTCAAAAGAACCGGCCGCACCCCTGTGAGGGAAGCTGTCTTGTCATCTGCTAATCATGTTAATTACCATAGCGACACCAATATCCTCACACGTGAAAGATAAAAATAAAAATCTTCGCTGCGCGCGATGAAGATATGATTTTTTAATAAAAGGAAAAATCTTGGTATTTCATCAGTATCTATATAATAAATAGTGCATTAGCTTCAGGAGCACACTTCCTTTAAAACCTTAAGCGGTTTAACCTCCAAGCTAAAAGTGACTGTCATCTAGTTTAACTCTATAAATAGTTTCTCCCTTGCAGCCGAACATTAAGAGTCACTTGGATCATAAAACTAAAGGAAACGATCGCTAACTAAGGAAGATCCTGATTCGCGTACGAGAACAATCTTCGCTGTAAGGAGAATTATTACACGACTCGGGCAGTTAGAGGGCCAATAACTAAAATCAACCAATCAAAATACTCTATTGCCGATCAATATTCTCTCAGTATTGGACCGGGCACTGTCCCGAATGGTCCCGAATGATACCGCATTTGTGTCCCTTTGAACTTCAGTCGTATAATAAATCTCTTATTAACCAAGCTTGCTCGGGACCGTACTGGAAGAATATCGGCCCTCGGTCTTTTTTGTACGGACCTCGCAGCGCTCGGTCCGTACTGTCAAGACCTCGGGCCGATATTCTCCCAGTACAGCCCTCGCGCTTGGTTAATAAGATATAGTACTTAAGCAGTCGTGAAAATATTATTTGACAGATTCTCTTTGCTAATGGCACAGGAACGTGTAAGAAAAGTTATGAGAATATGCACACTGATGTTCAGGTGTAAAGGGATAAATTAGAGAATCTCAAGAAGCAAGCAACATGTGGCTTATCATTGCCGGTAATTACAATGTGATAATTTAGTAATGGGCTCTGTGCCAATGAAGAATATAGAAGCAGTTTTACCTGGCTTTAGCTTTTTACACGTTTGAGCTGCAACCTTTACACTGTCTTTTGCCAATTGACCAAAATTTTCCGCCCTGAACAAATTCTCATCTTGATAACCCACCAACTCTAACAACTCGGTGATATCGATAGCTCTCCCAATACCAATGCCAAATATAATCACGTTCATGTCCAAAAGCGGGCGCACTGCCCTGTTCAGCGGTGTATAACCTTCCGCGACGGTTTGTTTTCCATCTGTCAAAATAACCATCAACTTGGTGACGTTAGGACGCGCTCCACCCTCAGCGGTGAAAACTTTTTCGGCAGCAAGTTTAAGTGCCAAGTCGATGCGAGTTTTTTGTCGTTGGTGTTTCACTTTGTCCATTGCAGAGTTGAAATCGTTAACGTTGGAGTATTCGCCGAATTTGATGTCGACTTGAGCGCTGTCGCTGTACGAGATGACGGCGATTTGTGATTGGTTAGGGCCCATCTTGAAGGATGAAGCAACTAGTTTAACGAATTGTTTCTCTCTTTGAAAGTTCCTTCTGGAAATGCTTCCCGAGGAGTCCACGACAAATACGATGTCTGATTGCTGAGTACATTGCACTGATAAAAGGGTAATGAATCAAATTAATTCATTTTTCGTTAAGAATCATGGAATCAAGAGAAGCAAGCCCAGTACTCCTTGAGGTTAGCACCCGGGATCGGGTATACGCTTGGAAGAGCTTAAAAAACTCTTTTTCCAGGTGTTGAGTTCGTAAACGGGGAGTTAAAGATCGTAGTGCAGAGGGAAATAACTTTTAGGGGGGGTTTGTTTCCCAAATATTACCAAACACCTGCAAAAGAGAGGGCTAAACACTGAGGAAGTGTGTAAACAATAGCTTATGGAGGCATTAATTCCCAGTCACTCTTGTGTATCACAGCTGTTAACGACAATGTGAAGTGCAGCGTTGAAAAGTGAGTGTTAAAATGGGATTTCGTGAGGGCAGTCGAGCAGAGCTGTTATGTTTCATTTAAAAATCTTCTCAAACTTATCTTGAGGAGAGACAATCTCCAACCTAAGAAAGATTGTGGCACAAAAAGAAGTATTGAATTAGTTTTTCAAGTCAATGTTTATCATCCTATGGGAAAAGTAATGTTGAATTTGCTGCTGTTCATAACGTTTGAATGATCTGCTGCGTAACATATCGAATGCAACAGGCTATTACAATTTCTGTTGTCTGATTTCTTTCATTGTCAGAACAAGATTTTCTCGACGGTAACACTAGCTGGCAAAACGAAACATTTTAAGCGTTTCCAAGCTTGCGTCACTGAATGCAGATGTAATTTACTGCGTTAGTTGACACAGCGGTTTTCATTCGCTGTCGCACTTTTGACAAAGAGTCCCCTTATTTTGGATTTGCTGTTTACTACGGATTCCGTGCAAAATGCTGCCGAAAAGTATTTGTAAAATAAGAAAAAGGGTCACTGCATTAACAGGAATATACTTTGATATTGCGATATGCTACTGTCATCTCGGGTTAATCGATAGTTAAGACTTTACTCAGGAAGTGGTTTTTAAATGGCTTTTCTAATACATTTCATGGGGTGATATTGGTTGCTTTCCCAGGATTTAAACATTTGAAAATGCTTGTATTGAGGGTCAAAATATTCCGTTGAAAATTGCTTAGGGCAAACCGCAAAACCATAATAGGTTTAAAAGCATTTAAACGATGCCCATGTGAAGTGTACTTTACTCGATATTTGCAATGCATTCTTCAAGCAAGGCCGGTGGGATGTTTTGTAATTATATATAGTCATTCGAACTCTTTGACCCTGAAAAGAACGTGTCAAGACTGAATTGTCGCTTTGCATGTCCGGTTCCAACATTTACGTATCAACGGAAAGCAAGTATATTCGCGGCAAGACAGCCCGTTTTCCTTTGTAATATTAAATGTTTTGTTTTAAAATACGCAGATTCTAATCCGGGTTATGTAACTTAAGGTCCTAAGCCCGATTCCTGTTGAGTGACCTTCAGCTACCGCAATCAGACGCAATCAGATCAGTTCTATATAACTCAATTGGCGTAATTCGCAATGATATCAAGAATGAAAAGTAAATAAAATGATCATGGCGTAGTTGGAACCGATAATCTCTTCCTTCGCCCAGGTGTTACTAACATTTTTACAGCGTTTCAAACTCGAACTTTTCCTGAGAAAATTCAATTTCGAAATTTTAGCGTAGTGTACCTAGGACGGACAAGTATCCAACAAGGCTGCTTAAGACGATTAGCTTAAAACGATTACCTCAAAGAACTCAAGCTGGCATTAAATGAATTTAAACCAAGTCAGAGAAAAAGAAATCCGGGAAATCCTTTCCTTCGTTCAGTTATGCGCGAGTTAAAATACGCATAGTTTTATAGGTATCCTTCGCCAACGGTGAACAAAAATGTTATTTTACCTTCTAAAAGCAAACTTTTTATGCAGATAACGACGTATCTCTTGTGAAAATCAAGTTAAAAAAGGTGTACAACTTTTCCTCTGTCTTTTCTTTGTCATTGTTAGCGGTCGCTAACAATTTTCATAGCAAAGGATACGTTCCCTGCGACAATCGTGAACAATCAATTAAGCAGCATGGTACTCTCATGGGGGTACTGCGAGTTTGGTAAACATTGCTGAGATATCGGAATATCACAACTGTCCTAAGGTCTTGTCATAAAAACAAAATACTAAAAGCAATATGGCTGCGAAGCTTCCGAGCCTGGTTAAGGTTTGATGACTTGTAATAAATGATTTAATCCTTCGTCTGAAATATCTTAGAATCCTTGATCTGTTGATTATTCCTTTGGGAGTAGAAATTTAGCTTGAGTCTTGCCGCTTATAGAAACAGTCTTAACGAGACTTTTTTAGCCGCCGAAAGTAAATAGATTTCTTTAGGATAAAAAGAACATTAGGACTAAAAAGTTTGATATTTGATTCCTGTGACAATTGTATCCAGTCAATATATATTTGGGATGTACGGCAAATCATTCAGAAGTTTTTTAGGGAATACGACTTCAGAGCATACGAATTACCCACAAATGAAGTAAAACTCTTCCCCAATCAACATTTCTCCAAGGCAAAAAGACGCTGAAAAGGATGGAAGCCTTTTTACTAGAACAAAATGAGTAAACTTGAATTACACTGATTTCAAATTTCGTCGAATTGTTTCAGTTCTTGGTTCAGTTTTTAGTTTAGTTGTTTTTTGCCCACCTAAGATAATTCCTATTCGAAGAGTAAACTCTTGTGAAGTTTTTCAAATATCAAATGTAAAACGCCCTAGTTTCACAAGACATCGGCCTTTTGTCGAAATAACATTTTAACTTACCTTTTTCCTCTGACTGGGAATTCACCGTAACAAGAATCAGGGCAAAAATGACGAAAACCCCGTGCAACATCGCCATGTTCCCTGTGGACTACGATTCACCGGTCGATTCCACCGAGTTTGTAATGCTGAAACTCTCAGCTGAATTTATAACGAGAGAGGCCTAATTCACGTAAATACCTCCACATCAATCACCACCTTGAAGACTTCAAGGATGGATTGAAATGCGCCACTTGTTTACATTTAGTTTAAATATAGAAATCTGGGTAGGACTGACGAATATAAACGGCTTCCGCGTGGGGTGTGGGTCACAGCACATGATTGGTTTCCTACGCAAGTGTCACGCATACACGAAGAACCGGTTCCTGTCAAAGGTATTTTGGGAAGTCACGTATGAATGACCAGAATTTGACTTTCGCAACATGCAATTTGCATAATTATGCAGTCCTATGATTTCATTTTTCAGATCCGTCACAGGTTCTTACGGTTATCCTGGGACAAGACCAGGATTTTTAAAATTGTCAATATCTGATTTCATCTGGATTTGCAACACCTTAAATCTTAGAAAAGAAGCTGTGTGATATAAAATTCTTGTCGTTTCCGTCATTTTAGCCACCTTGGCCAAACCTGTGGTCACCAACAATCTATTCCAGCATTATTTGTTTAAGGTAAATTACCACACCTTTCAAACGTAGAATTCTGAACCCACCCTGGCCAGTTCACATTCCCACGTAGCTGTTTTATTTTCTCTTCTACTCTTTTTGCTTTAGCTGTTGTAAATCGTGGACCCACGAAGCAAAACGAATTCATGTATGCGTAACTTCCTTTGTTGTTGTGATAAGTTTTGATATAATTTAATCACAAAAACTGTCACTTTGTGAATTCCCATGGGGTGCGAAGCCTACAACTCGTTATCTGGAGCAAGAGCGGTTCGAGAATTTTCCGAGATTCATCGACTTTGATAGATATTTTGGTTAGCATGATTTCACTACCAACGGATAGTTTGAAACAATATTGCATGAAATGAATGAATTGCCCCAAGGAACATCAGAAGTGAACTTTGGCTTATGACTGTTTATCTAGAACGTGCAAATTGTCTTCTAAGCGAGGGTAATCGTAAAATATTTGTCAGAATAGCTAGAAAAACACCTCATTGTTGTGGATAAGCTACATAGGACAAAAGATAGGCAAGGGTTGTTATGATGGAGACGAATTACAAAACAACTCACGACTTTAAGATATTTTGGCCGGCTTTTTAAGATTCACAGTTGCTTCTGTGTAGAATTACAAAAATGCGATGTTTATTAACAGTTGTAAGGCTTCGGCGTCAAAACCGATTGTTCCTAACGAGAAACTTAATGAGCATGAAATCCCTTTTTCTCCGTATTACATGACAAGCGGGTAAACATAAACGACAGTGTCAGACAACACCAATATCAATTGGTGTGTGGAAAACTGAAAGACTGCTTATATCGAGAGCAAGTTTGGTATGCTGGAAGAAAATCAAGGCTGTGGTTTTTGAGAGGTCAACGGTGGAACGGTGATGTTTAGGAAAGGAAGGTGTCTATTTTTTTGTTTTTTCAGTTCCAGTAAGACAACGGATCCGGTTGCTAACGCGACTCGCTGGTGGAGTGAATATTTGATGATGAGGAGGAGGTTTTCAGGAAGTTTATCGGCAAATAAATTTAACTTGGATCCCTTTACCAAGAGCATAAAGATTCGGAAATTAAAATTTTTTAGATAGTTTTAAAGAGAGACCAAGAACCGTTTGAAAACCACAATGGCAACACTGACAAAAAAAAAAAAAAAATCATCCGTGCATAAAATTAAAAGCCTCTCTTTACATTTCGTAGTCGTTGGATGCCTGACCACAGCTTGAAATAACTTCAGTTTGCCAAAGCCCCGTGGCAGATTTTTCATGAACATGTTTCACTGCACTCACTCACTAGCCGAGGTGAGCTCTGGCGGAGCCGAGGTGAGCTCTGGCGGAGCCGAGCGAGGGGACTCCGGGGAGGGGCGGAAACGGTAAAATATTACGACGTATAAATTTTACCGATCTACCGAAGGAATTTAATGCCGGCAATCTTTGAGGTCTATTATCTAGAAGCTTCCTCGACCGTTTTCAAATTTAAGGTATTTTGTTTATGTTCAGGCCCAGTGTGAGATTTTGGTTAGGACTAAAACAGCAATTTCTGGTCTCCCAAAACTGTACAGTAATGACCTCTGAATTTCCCTAAAATTATCTGCCAAATTTTGGGCGTCTTCTTCTTACACGACTGAACGAACGCGGACTTATTACCAAAAACAAAACAAAAAACAAGAAAAAAAAAAACAAGATAACACAACGTTTACGATTTGATTTCCGTATCCCAGTATAGTACAAAGGAAACATCGTTATTTCAGGTTTGTATTACATATACTACAATTGTCTAAGGTCTCTCCCGCTCTGTTGAAAGATCAGTTTCACTTTTTAACTCTTTCAAAACTTTCGTGTCTTCTTGTCGTTCCATTGGATATTCTTAATCCGATTTAAGCCAACGTTGCGATAAGAGTTCTCTAAATAGTATCTTAAAAAGTCGATCAGACTTCAATTGTCTCTGGCTTTTGTGTCATCTGAATAATATACTTCCAGTAGTTATTTTAACATCTGGTTATTTGAAATAAACAGGAAGCAATAGTTGGTTTAAAACTCTCAATACTGTTTATATATAGTGGCTAGGCATTGCTGACTTGAAGTGTTTTCCATTCAATACGTTCTTTCCTGAACATTCGTATAACGTAGCTATGAAACGTGCGTCAGTTTTTTTCTACAGACTCTTGCTGGTAAAGATCGAATTTGGATTCAGGAAACATTTGTAAAACGTTCATTTTGCATATTCATCGCTGTTGACACACAATAGCCCTGTGTATATTTGTGATTTGAATAAATCCAATCATAAAAGGAAATAACTGTATCCGCATTTTTTTGAAAAACGTTGATTCATGTAATTTCCTGGCACTAAATCATTCACGGATGGAAGGAGTTAGACAGCATAAATTGTTCCAGCCCAAACCGCGGCGTAGACAGTGGTTAGCAGAACAAGTGGCCACACCTCTTGAACACACCTTTTGAAGCCGCTGAAACGTTGTCATAAGATTAAATACTTTTCATTGTTTTTCGACTTCTTTTTGTGTAAAAATGATATCGTTCAATCAGTGGACAAGATGACGAACCAAATCATGTTTCGCTCTTTTAAAATAAAATGACGCGTTAATTTGAATTTTATTTCCTTGTTGCTCTGAAAAGGGGAGGAAAAAAAATCCATTTCTGTTTTTTTAGCGAAGCTCAGGTTCCACGGAACTCCGAATAGTCCGCAAACCGCATTGGAATAACATGTTCCAAAATTTTCATTCAACAACGTCCTTATTATAGTCCTAAGAACTAATGAATTCCTTGAATAAGCAGGTTTTCTCAAAACTTTGGACTGTACGAAAAATTAGCCAAAGGTGACGCCCACACAGTTGGTAAATGTTGGGAGTGAGTTAAAAAAAAAGGGCCAGCTTTGTCTTGAGGTTAGAAAATTGAAAAGAACAAAATTTTTCTATGCGTTCAAGTGCGGGTAAGCGAGGCATTGGAAATAGAGGAAATATTAATTAATGGTTAGAAATTGGCCAAATCAGACTAGTTTTCAGATACTCTAAAAAAAGAACAGCAATAATAAAAGCAAGGATTTAGGGGAGAGGAAATCTGCGAAGTGTGAGCTTTATGTCTTGTTTCAAGAATCAGTATAATTGTGGTTGTAACCCACGCGCCAAGAGAGAAATTAACAGTAATTGCTATTTAGGTGAAGTTAATGTTGTTGATAGATGAATCTGGAAAGCGTACCAAGCATTATCCACCCATAATTTGGCATGTAAGTGATCAGGGTAGAGACAGACTTTTCCCGACAAGAGATCTTGTTGGAGAAACACTATGGTATTTACGGAAATGCCAGATCGTCTCATCACTATTTTTTTCTGACAAAGCGAGGAACAAACAAAATCCAAAAAAAAAAAAAACCCACATACTAACCCTCGGGAATTTTGTGATGGAGGTCGATGAAACTAGCACATCCAGTGTTATGTTGTATTATGCTTAAGTGTCACTTATAAACCCATGGATTGAAACACTAATGAAGTATCAACTGGTTCGTGTGTGTCAATACCTCCCCCGTGTACCCCTGAGGTTTTGATGATCTAACACGGGCGGGGAATGGCGGAACATGCGACGTGTGAGAATCACGCCGTTTCAGAGAGGCGATACTTTTGAGTGATGTAAACAACTTGAAGAGCTGTAGCTTTTTTCTTTTTTCTTTTGCGAGTTTCTTTCAGGTTAAGTTAAGTCAACTGTTTTTAAAGCCGGTTTGTGACTGATGCATATAAAAGTTACAGTGAGATTTAATTAAGCACGGTGATCTTTTACCAAACTTTAGCCGCTTTGGTAATCGAATTCGTAGCTGGATGCCTTCGAGATTTCCTGCTGCGTTAGTCGGGCTTGGCTCAAATCGGAAGCGAACGACAAAATCTTTTGCATGTCTTTCAATGAGATCTTAATTGCATTAAGATAAAAATCAAGACCATTCGCTATCATGGATCTTGAAAGGGCCATTAAACACTAAGCAGTGAATATTGGAAGAGAATATTTCACATGGTATTTTGGATAAAGGGTCTCGAGTCATTAGATCTGCATTTGCAATTTTCTCTTCGCCAAAGGAAAAGTTTTTCATGGGAGGCCTAGACTATCAGAAAACAGTGATAATTGTCCTTTTTGGCAGAGCTGACGATTGATTCTGTTGTGAAATAAAGCTCGTCTGACCTCTTGTTCAAATGTCTGAGAGGAACCGTTGAAAGATTCCTGATGTTTTCTTTGTGACATTGAATTCGGAATTGACTCGTGAAAATGAGAAATAGTCCTCGGGCGTAGATGGGTGTTAAGTGTATCAGAAATGCGTCTGCTTCTTTGTTGAAAGAATTGCTAAAAGGAAAGAAGTACGTAAACGAGCGAAGCACTACATCAGCTAGAATAACTTTTTGGTCTTTGATACGTCTTTAATCAATTGAGTGGACAATGTAAACTAGCCACCGTAAAGAGTTTTTAACAGCTGATGTTACGACCGTTCGCTCTTCGATAGTGTTTGCTCAGTAGGGTATTTCATCGTCAAAAGAAGAATGGTCCTGCTTTAATAGGAATCAATTACAAAAGGTCACAAAAGATATGGCATCATGTGATTTTAACAGTGGCATCAGCGCATGCTAGTCTTGCTGAGCTCATTCGAAGACCTACTTGAAATATAACCAATTGAGTGACCTCGAGTATCATACTCAGTCTTTTCGCACGATTAAGAGAAAGAGACGCGGTTGCGTAGGGAGGGCAACATAGACTACCTTACTTCGGCTACATTATATTTTACGTTTTCACGTAATTCTTCGGACATTAAGACGATTTCCTTTGCAGCAGACGCCAAGAGGTTAGAGAGAGACGTTTGTTTTTCCATGCAAAGCATAGGTGAAGAAGGATTTTTAAGAGGCAAAATAGATAACACTCGAGCGAATCCTCATATCAAACGACTACTTTTCTATTAAAATCATTGATTTAATCATTCTTACTTTAGATAAAAATTTTAACCAAATGGTCTTTGAGACACATGTCGTATTTAACTTAAGTTATTTCTAACATTCATTTTATCATCTTGCTACAAGGTCCACAACTAACTGTCTATGAACGTAAATTATTCTGGCACTCAGTGATTCATTCCTTTAAAAGGGCTCTTCTTAATTACCTCAAAGCGTTCACCAGGCAGTGACTGTGTTAATTTTCTTTGACTACAATGAGTTTGATCGCACATGTAACGTTTTACTCAAAAACTTTACATAATTGTAGTCATTCTTTGATGTTTATGACAACGAACCATAGAATCGATGAAAATTAAAGATAGATACACATTTCAGTCACTAAATATTACTGAAGCTCCATTTACGAACAGTGACGACTTTTCAAAAATAAATAAAACTCAAAGTGAGTTTTAAATTGAAATACACAGGTGCAGCTGTTTGAAATAAAGATAATGGAGAATAGTTTGCGTGTCAAGCCGATACGTGAAGTTGTTTTGGATAATTTTAATGGTGTAACAACGTGAATTCTTGAATAATCTTTCCCTTCATTGCTAACCTGTCGTATGAAATAGAAATATTTTGAAGCGCTGTAAACTAAACAATAGCTTAAATTGTTGTATTACTTTATTCGTCCGCATTGTTTTTCCACAGTCGAGCTTCATTCACCTGAAAAAAGAAGGAAAAGGGAATGAAAATAACGCCAAATCGATTTAACCCTTCCACTCTCAAGATCTCAACAGTAACTCTCTTTACCGACTGCTATACACAAATAATCCCCTTATAGATATTTTTCTTTATTCTCATCACTTGTCTGCTTGATGTTGTATAGATATTGTAAAGAGAAATTCTACCTTGGTTACTCATGTGAGTTGATTAAGAAAGAGTCAAGTACGATTTAAAGTGCGAGAGGAGGGTGACTCAAGAGTACTTTGTGTTTGTGTTATCAAACTTTGTGTTATAACATAACCCACGTTAGGCGCGCACTCCGATTGGCCAATTCAGTATCCACCATTTTCCCATGGGTGTACACTGCTGACGTGAGCAAATGCAAAGACTAATTTCCGCGCGCGTGTTTTTTCTGATTTGTTAAATAAAAGGGAACTCTTTAGTAACAGCGTATCAATGTTATGTTATAAACAAATAGGAAACACCACAGCGTATACTATTGTTATGGATGCACTTGGGAGCTTTACTAAGCACTCAAGAAGATGGAATCGCTCTCGGTTATCGCCTCACGCGACTCTTACGCTTCTTTCGTCACGTGCTTAGCAGCCTCCCGCGTGTATCCATAACTCAATAACGTACGCTGTGGTGTTTTTACCATTTGTTAAATAGGTCTAGAAAATGCATAAGCCTCCTAACCAATCACATGCAAAACGAATCGCGACTAAGTCATGATTACTTTTTGGTTTTGGTTCACTGGGATATTCATCTGTGTTGATAATAATAATAATAATAATAATAATAATAATAATAATAATAATAATTTTTATTTACTATAATCACTAAAAGTATTACAAAAATTATGATGAAATGCTTAAAAATCAAAAACAAATGCGTCAAAATGTCCAGTAAAAATTCGAGAAAAGCTCATGGATACACACTTCTTATAATAATCATAATGATGATCATAATTAAGGTATAAATATTACAAAACAAGTTTAAAAAGTCTCTAACTGAGAGAAAAGTTTTGAATTTCTTCGGTATTAACTTAATAATAATAATAGATTTTTCCTTAAAAATATCTCACAAAAAGCAGTTCTCTAAAAAAAAAAAATAATAATAATAATAATAATAATAATAATAACAATAATAACAATTTAATATTTATATTGCGCAAATTAACATGTGGAGATGATCAAATGCGCATCACAACACTGTTTGGGGGACTTTGGCCAGACTGCATCAGCAGTTTACAAACAATCGAAGGAAACTTATTTGAAGATGCCCCCTCCCCCCAATTCCCAGTAAAAAGGCCAGATCACATCACAGTAATCTCGTGAGTGGGTTCTTTAACATCCCCTGCCTAACCAAATTCACTAATTAATAGGTGCAGGAGTGTTGTAACTGTCTTGGTTAAACGACACGCCATCAACATGCGCTCTAGAACAACATCAGGCTGGCTCAAGTTTACAGGCTGCAAGTAACTCATACAGTGACAGGAATTAGATAAAAGGGAAAACTTGAGAAATTGTTCGATTCTTTAAGAGTGCAGCAGCCCTTGATTCATTATCGGACTGTAGTTTGACTAGTATCACTTTACTAGACAATTGCGGTTACTTCATAAGAATAGCTGGTGTTATGGCTGATCATAACAGCTGCTTACTCTTTAATTATATACTTTTTAATTACGCGAAAATTATCTTCCTACCTCGACATATTTTGTCACTGAGCTCTTCACCAATTCTTGCGAGGTCGTCAAACGTTTCCACCAACAGTACATTTTGATCGCTACTCGTGACTGACCGGAGTTCGTTATAACGTACATCCTTACCGATGCCAACCGCAAACACATTGACTCGCCTGCGCCTCAGTGGCTCTACTGCGTATCTCAGCGGTATCGCATCGAACGTTCTTGTTTGATGACCCTCGGTCAACAGTACCGCAACTCTTCGTATTCCGGCCCTCATACCAGCTCTACTGTTGAAAACTCCGCTCGACGCAACCCGCAAAGCCTTGTCAATCCGGGTCTTTTGGCCCATGTAGGGGACATCTCGTAAAGCCTTGCTGAAAGCCCGGATGTCATCGTGGTCGTCAAGTTTGATTTGAACTTTGGCGGTGTCACTAAAAACGACGAGACTCCCATGGGTGCCACTAGGGGAAATACGCATGGTTTTGGCAACTCTACGCACGAAGTCGAGAAGTTTCTGGTAGTTTTGTAAGCCAACACTTTCTGAAGAGTCCACCAAGAAACTAACATCCACTACTTGGTCGCATCCAGGAAGAGCTGTTTGGAAAAAAAAAAAAAAAAAAAAAAAAAAAGGAACCAGACTGCAGTTGATGTTTTCTATTAGGTGCCCTTTCGACCTATGGCACTTCAAAGAATTTGATAGAGAAGGTACCCTAAATTAAATCGAGTATTTCGCTGCTTAAATTTATCAATTTAAATAGTAAAAACCATATAATATTTTGTCACTAATACAAATATTATCAGCTGATCGATAAAACATTCGCTCAAATTGAACAAAGAGGAATTCAACTTACTTATCGTGCCTAGAAAAACATCTCCCTGAGATAGTAGATATATATCTTATTGGACATTTGTTGTGTAGTATCGCTATCTTTACGAGTTGTGCCGTATTTTGACGAGCCCGCAGGGCGAGTCAAAATACAAACGACGAGTAAAACTACTCGGCGATACTACACAACAAAACGTCTTATAAGAGATTTATTATCCAACACGCCAAATTGTTATTTCAGTGCGGGCGAATTTCGCGGATATTTCTTGAGTACAAATATCGCGTGATATTTGTACTCGTCTCGCGCATTATTTGTATTCTACGAAGCACAGTTGGATATAAAAGTTAGTTACTACAACTTTATAGCATCTACTTCGCAAGTAGAAGCTACTTGCCGAAATGACTTTCGTCTCAAGAGTTCGCTAGCTGGTTACCATGCAATAGTTGATGAAAAAAAGTACATGCTAAATTCTTCTTCATGGAAGAAGAATACGTCCTTGACAGTCAGGTGTAGATCATTGCCATAACATGTGAAAAAGATCACTTAAAATGTATATTGACAATTTTCGCGTTGAACAATCGTTAAAAAACTATCTGCAAACAGACGTTTTCTCAGTTATGACAAATGACACCCTCCCCCCGCGAATCCATCTAAGCATCTTACCTCCACTCTCGCAAATGTCCTTGGATACTTTTCGAAGCTGAAGAGTCAGCTCATCATAAGTTCGAACAAAGTACAAGTCTTTGTATTGTTCTGTGAGTAGGTACAACTCATCACGGCCCTTCTCGCTACCAATGCAGACAACGAACACTTTGACCCCGGCTCGTTTTAGAGGCGCGACGGCGGTATCTAACGCCACAGAATCCGGCTTTTCCGTGTTGATGCCGTCTGTTATAACGACCATGACTCTAGGAATGTCCTTGCGTGAACCTTCTTCATTCGCAAACAACTCCTGAGCAGCTAGCTTGAGAGCTCGATCGAGCCGAGTGTACCCTCCCTCGTAACGAACCTTGTCCAAGACACTTCGGAACTGCTCACTCGTAATTCTGTCGGAAAAGCGAACATTTATCTTCGGCAAGATGCTGTACTGCATGAGTCCCACACGGCTACCGACTTTGTTTTTGAGGAAGGAGTTAGCCATGAGCTCGATGAAGTCTTTAGCTTGTTGGAATTCAGATGTAGTTAGGCTGCCAGAGGAGTCGAGGACAAAACCCACGTCCATGATATTATCACAAGCCTCTATTTCTGCGGAAGAAATTTACGACACAGTTACCTTCGAATGCTATACATTTATTCAAATTAGGCTAATCTGAGCTGTCAATTCAAGAACGAAAAGGATTTTTTTTCTTTAAGGAAGGAATTTGTATTCTCTTCTACCTAGATGATGCTGTGCATGACGCTCTACATTTCTTCATCCACCAAATTGTGGTACAGTAGCTTGCCGCATTTTCATTGACGCTTGCGACTTGAGTGAATGAAAAACAAGCTAAGTTTACTTAGAATTGTGAAGTGATAGCCATGAAACTTTTTTGATTTACGTTATACAATTGTTTTTGTTAACTTTAATTTTTTTTTTTTACTTTGAAAAGTTGATAGCCTTGATTGTACACGGACCAGCCCAAGTTCGAGACAGGTGGGCAAACCCAGTGAAAGTATCACCGGTGGCACTTAAGATTTCGAGTTGAACTAAGTTAGTAATACCGTACAAGTAAGTAGAGTTTCTTCGCGCGCGCTTATTGGCTAGTTCGCAAGTGAGTAACAAGTACTATTCACCTCCGAGCTGCCGAGGAGAAAAAACCTCGCGTCAAAAGTTTAATTTCCGACCACTTTTCGTTACATTGATAGAAAGAACTATTCTTGCGGTTTCTCTAAACTAATTATTTTCCTCAGTGAAAAAGGGAAAGGTTTACCTCGCCACTTCGCGGCTCGGTAAATATCCACTACCAGTCATATCCACTTCACCGAATAGTTGTTAAATATCGAGACTAACGCCATGATTCGGGTTTGTCTAGTTCCGAAGTGTACACGAAGAAAAGATTAAACTAAACGTTTATATTACAGATAATCAACTCTATTTGTCACTTCAGCTCCTTCTGCCTCAGAACCAGTTAAGAGCCTAGGTTTAAATTGTGGCTCCATCTGCCCTTCAATAATTAGCGAACATAGATCGACAAGAAATAACTTCTGTTGACCACACCTGCTAGGAATTGTATTCTTAGTCAACTTTGCTGCAACGTTACGTTCAGCGCGTGGTTAGCGTTTGCTCAGCCGTTTTCCAATACAGTGTGTGATCAATAAATCTAGTACACAGGGGAAAATAAACGATTGGGAATCCACAGATTTGAATTTAAGTTCTGTACAAGGAAATAGTGTTGGTTTTACCTGAGCTTTCACACGTTGCAATAGACAGCTGCCTCACTCTTGTGGCGAGTCCATCGTATGACGGTACTAGTATGACGTCATCTTTCCTTTCAACAATAAGTTGTAATTCTTTTTCATTAACCTCGGTTCCAATTCCCAGAGCAAACAAACGCACACCCGCCGATAAAATGGGCTCCACAGCCTTCTGGAGTTCAACGCCGTCAGGGGCTCGAGACTGCCTCCCATCTGTAACGAGAATCACAACTTTGGCGACACCAACCCGCGCGCCGCTGCGTTCTGTTAAAAGCTCAGTGGATGCAAGCTGCAAGGCTTTATCTATGCGAGTTTCACCTCCCAAATACGGAAGGACGTCTACTGCAGCGTTGAAGTCGACATTGCTCGCGTGATCGCTAAATCGAATGGCCGTTGTTGCGGTGTCACCGTACAAAATTAATGCCGCCAGTGTTTTGCCTGATCTGATAATGAAGGTGTTCGCAACAGCCTTGATAAAATCTTTCATTTTTCGGTAGTTCGGTTCACCAATACTTCCTGATGAGTCCAGAAGAAAGGCGATGTCTACAGGAGTAGGGCATTTCTTTAAAGCTGCCAAGAGATTGATGTTTTACATATTAGAACAATTTATACTTGAGCGTCTAACGTTGCCTAAGTTTGCGCATTCTTTGCTTCCATGGAACCTGTTATTACTGAGAAAACTGGCGCCAATATCAATCGAATGCAAAACCGAAATAAATTAGGCTCGGTCACTAAAGTCGGCCCACCCTTTTTTTTACTTTAAGTTTCCACTTTGTTCCTCTTAATATTTTCCTTTCTTCTGATTGGCTTTCGCTTTCCGTCTCTGAAACAAAAACGCGTTTTAACTTAATAAGAAACATATTCTTCGAATGATTTCACCTTCGGACATAATTGAGAGCATATTTTGTTGCAGCTTTTTGTCTCATATCTTCTATTTTGGTAATTGAAATGTAAACTAAGTTTCTTCAGGTCAAGGACCTTGAAAGAAGTTTAATCTAACTGCAACCTCACATGAAAATATCTAAGGGAACATTGTACTAAAGGGATCCTTCTGAACACCATTTTCCTTGGGCAAGAGGTATCAAGGTGATCTCACCTGCACTAGTGCATAACTTTTCCGATACCATATGCATTGAAGAGATAAGATCATCAAAACTGTCCACTGTAACGACGTCTTCGTCCCCATCAACAACCTTACGAAGCTCAGCGGGACTAATTTGATCGCCTATTCCCAAAGCTATCCTTGTCACTTTTTTTTCTTTAAGGGGCTTCACGGCGCGTTCCATGGAAATCGAGTCGGCTGCCGGAGTTTGCGTGCCGTCAGTCAAAAGTAGAAGAGTGTTAGCTACATACGATCTCACACCACCGACATCACTAAACAGGTCTGTATTGGCAAGTGATAACGCACGATCGATGCGCGTGGTTCGACCATAGTAAGGAATGTGATCTACAGCTTCTATAACCGAATGAGTCCCATTGGAACCGTCGAATGACTGTTGAACTGTTGCCATGTCACTGTAGACCAGAGACCCAGCGCGGGCTAAGCCACTCTTAAGCCCTAAAGTACCGGCGATTGCTTTGATGAACTCTTTCTGCTTTTCAAAGTTGGCTGCTCCCACACTGCCAGAGGCATCCATTAGGAAGGCGACATCCATGGCTTCAGGGCAAACCGGAGGCTCTGAAATTATCAATGTGGGATTTTAAACGAAATTTGAAAACATAGTTCTCAATCATTTTTACGTTCATTTTCCATCAGCTTTTGTCACCACTCTTCACCTTTTTTGCTTTCTGGATGATTAACTTTCATCTGAATAGCTGTTGGCCAGTTGTTAGATTTCTCAGTATTAACTAATCATTGAACACCATCGAGACCACTTTCGAGTGATTGGAGGCTTCTTCTTTAAATATCTTTTGATCATTATAATATTATCATTGTAGACGAATGCATAAATATGCGTATAACAAATGAAAGATAAATGGATTATCAACAAATTTTCGTTTGGTCGGTCGTGCAAAAATTCCAATAGGTTAGAGTCCGAACTCCGTAGGAAAAACATTCGGTTTGAATAAAACTCTTAAAACTTCTTAGGGATTAAAATAAGCATGAACGAAAACTAAAAAACAACCAAAAAAATTAAACTCCGTAAAGAAAAACAGCCAAGATACGCGCGAGAAAATGTCCACGCTAGTTCCCAATATCAAGGCCAAAGCCCCCGACGTGATTGGCTAATTGACAAAAAATCACGCGCGCCACGCGTGAAAACAAAAAAAAAACACGGAGAGGGGAGGGGAAGGGGAAATTTGAATTTGAAATTGGGAAATTCAAAAGTGAAAGAGATTTTCTACAGGTCGGTCGATCTGTCGATCAGTCGGTGGGTTGGTCAGAATGTCAGTCCGTCATTGATGCATAGTTAAGATTTTTCCGCTAAGAACTCCAGGGTCTTAGTCAGGTTAATGGACTTCTGATTAAGAAAACATGAACAGTCATGCAGCTCTTACCAAACAGAGCCAACTAAACTAAACTTGACGTTACACTTAGTGGAACATTCTATCTTTACTGTATACTCACTGGCTGCCTTACAGATGGCCTCTGACAAAGATCCGCTTAAGGTGAGAAGATTCTCCAACGACGGTGACAGAAAGACGTCATTCTTATCAACTGTCATGGCGCGTAACTCCCCGATATCTGCCTTGTTTCCCATTCCCACTGCAAGAATCTTAACATCGTCTTCATACAGTAGTGGTCGGGCAGCGTCCACCACAGTTAATGCATCTTGTGCAACAGTTTGCTTGCTATCGGTGAACAACATCAATACCTTTGGCACTCCTCGTTGCTTCACAGCACTGTCGGAGTCAAAAATGGATCGAGCAAGCTTTAAAGCTCTGTCGATTCGCGTCACTCCACGTTCATGGGGTAAGCTATCCACAAGATTGTCAAAAGACTCCATGGTGATCTTTTCCTCAAGTCTAAGGGCTGCCGTGGCGAAGTTGCTGTAGAGAATTAAAGCTACTCGGCTCCTACCGGGTGAAATGTTCAGAGTTGTCGCCACTCTCTTGACCAATTCTTTTTCTTTGCGGTATTCGGAAGGGCTGAGGGTCCCTGAGGAATGGATCGCAAATACCACATCTGCTACTCCATCGCACTGTTTGTAAGCTTTGAGATCAAAATCAAAACAAATTCATTATAAACTGAAAAGAACAAATCACCAGAGCTACAATTACCACTGTTTTAATTTGTTGATTTAAAAGCCGAGTTTTCTTTTCCCCTAGATTATTGTTCCAACTTTAAATAAAAAGCCCTAAAATGACATCTAAAACCCAGAATACCATTTTCTTAGAAAACAGTAATCAACACGACTTAAACAAACTGTATCATAAGCGATGTAAGAAAAGAGTTGACGGCCGGATTTCGCATGTAAGTTAAGGTAGAGTAAATAAATTCGATTTCTCTCGGATAATTGTAAAATGCCGCCCTTTCAAATGGCTTAATTGGAGTCCCAGACATCTGTAATCCTTACTTGTAAATATTTGGGTGGAAAATAAAACAATTTCCTAAAGTTAAGAAGGCACATCATTCATAGCCAGTACAAGCTATATACAAAAAAGTATTTTCCTCACCAGCCTCGAGGCATATGCGTCTAAAAAGATAACTAATCTTGTTGGATAAACTGTCACAAGAATGCGACACAATGACATCCTCGTCGTCCACAGTTAACGAGCGCAGCTTTTCCCAATCTACCGACGACGTCACTCCAATGGGTATAACATGGACCCCTGTTTGATGTAGAGGTCTTGCCGCATCCTTCAGGTCCTCTAGGTCTTCTACAGTAGAATGCTTTCCATTCGTTATCACGATGCTGACTTTCTGGACTCCTGGTCTGGCTCCGTGTTCAGCAGTGAACAATTTTGAAGCAACGCCAAGGGCTGTCCCAATTTTCGCTGGTCCCGTGCTGAGGGGAAGATTATCAATTGCACGATTAAAATCGTACTCGGACCAGTATTGTCCAAACGTTTTGGATATCGTAGCCTCGGTATTGAAAACGATGACACCAACTTGCTGTTCGTTGTCACTTCGTGACAGGTAGGTGGCTGCCTCCTTGATGAAATCTTTGATTCTTTCATAGTCTCTTGGTGAAATGTTTCCGGACGACTCGACCAAAAAGGCAACGTCTAGTGGAACATCACATGCCTTTGGTGCTAAAAAAAAAGGGAATATTTTCTTTTAATATCCAAAATGTTTTCTTTTCAGAAAGAAATTGATAGCTTTATGGACATTGGAGGCCCGAGTGACTTTCTATATTCTCGAAGCATCTTTAGAAACGGAAGTTACAAATTAAATCAAGGGAATGAGCTTTTGAGTATGGCCCATCTGATGGACTCAGTCTGGCATTTGTAACCACTTATGACCACAAACAAAGTGTTGAACCTGTGAGAACACGGAGAATGAACCGAACGTATAAGGCAACAATTGAAGGTACCTGCAGCATCACATATTCTTGTGGCAACTGGTTGTGCAAAACTGCTCAAAGCTCGGGGAGAGGATGCCAGGAAGACGTCGCCATCTTGTGAAGTCATTTTTCTGAGTTCATTCACGTCTGCCAGTTCCCCGATTCCGATCACCAAAGTTGTTATTCCCATTTCCTCTGAGACCGCAGCTGCTTGCTCTAAAGGCGTGACGTCAAAGTCCTGAGTCTGCCTCCCGTCGGTCATTATGACCATAACTCCAGGTATGTCCTTTCTTCTACCTCCTTCCACTGTCATAAGCTCTTTTGAAGCCTTCACAATGGCCCTGTCAATCCGTGTCGTTTTACCTTGATATGGCAGCATTTCAAGGGCATTTACCAACTGTGCGTGGTATTGGTAATCTGAAAATTTTATCGCCACAGAAGCTCTATCACTATAAGTTATGACACCCGCCTTGCTGTGTGAGGGAGATACACTGAGGGTGTTCGTAATCACTTTTATAAATTCCTTTTGCTCGTGGAAACCTTCCTTGCCAAGACTGCCAGAAGAGTCCACCAGAAAAGCGACATCAACTGGGTTTCTGCATCTTGAGAATCCTACACAATGGAAAACAAACTGTTTTCATACAATAAATCATATTAATACATTGTATGCATTGAATCTACCTTGCTTCTTCTGACTGGACAAATAATTCTTAATTACACTGCCTTATAATTGGTGTTCATTTAGTGCTTGTGAGAACTCTTTGAATTGTCCAATATTTAGTAAATTGATAATCAGTCTTGGATTTGGAGAACGTTATATCATTATCACGTGAATACAAAGGCCATTTTGGACTACCTTCAGCTCTGCTTGGGAAGTTATAATGAAGCCACTGAAAATTACCTGCGTTTTTACAAGCAATTTGTGCTACTTGTCGAGCTTTCAGCATCAGACTTTCAAAGGATATCTCAAGGAGAAGATTATCTCCTTTCGTAACCAAAGGACGGAGCACTGTCTCATCCACCTGTTCACCGACACCTATGACAAACAAAGCCACTCCCAGCTGTTGGAGCCTTCTGGTGACACTATCTAGAAACACTGGATTTAAAGTTTGATTTTGAGTGTTTGCTGTTAACAATACTAGGATCTTCCCCAATCCAGGTCTTGCACCACCTCTGGGGACCAATAACCGAGTCAGGGCCACATCGAGAGCTTTGTCAATTCCAGCATGTCCTCGAGGGTGAGGAAGTCTATCTACTGCTTCTTTAAAGTCTTGGGTGTGCAAGTAGTCATCAAACTTAATGTTCATAGTTGGCTTCTTGCTGGAAAGGATGACTCCTGCACGGCTTGACCCAGGTTGCAAACCGAAGCTTTCTGCGATTGCTTTGACGAAGTCCTTTTGGATGCGGTAACTCTGAGTGTCAACACTGTCTGAGGCGTCCATTATGAAGGCAATGTCAGCCACTTTACCACAACGTTTAGGTGCTAGGGAAATACAACAGAAAAAAAATTTGCTATCTTATCTATTTGTTATTTGTCCTAATTGTCTCATTTGTCTTAAGGCTTCCTCAAAGTTATGTCAGAGGAAAAATGGTTCTTAAATTGCACCTTTCTGAGAGAAATTTTGTCGAATGAGCGACGTCTTCGTCTGGAAGTCTTGACAGTTTTACGGTACATTTTTCGCGTACTTTTATTTTCATCCGTGTCAAATGTTCTCCATTCCTAAAAAATCCATACTCCTTTCTGGCTTACTCCCCTATTCCAGTGTTTTGCTTGGTGTAATTTTGCATGTCGCTGAAAAATAGGACTCGAAATATCGATAACTGAGGATTAAGTCTGCAATTTATTGATCGTTCTTTCTTCCAACCTAATAGCACAACTGTGAAAAAGAAACTGTAATAAGAAGTACTGTGACAAATGATTTTTCAGTTTGGTACACCTCATAATGACGAGAAGGTTTGTGTGTTTGAGGATGTATTTCTTCAAATTTGTATATCACACATTGTTTTAATCGATTTCGTCTCGGTTTTGCGGACGTTTTCTTCACTTCCTCGAAATAATAACTTGTGCATTCTTTCAAGTTTAAGGCAGTTCCGTTTCGTGTCCTAAAAATAGCTAAAAGTATCTTGCCGTTGCCTGTTTTGGATCGAAAGGAGATCTGTAAGTTGAGGTAAACATTGATTCAAGGTATCGATATCGGGTGAAACGAGAATTTTAATCCAACCTGCAATTTCGGAGGCTATAGTGCTGACTTTCCCTACTTCAGCGGCCAAGGTTTCGAAGGATTCAGCGGTAAAGATATGATCTTCATCTTCAACAAGGTTGCTCAATCCATTCTCGTCAACATCTTCACCACCAACAGCCACCACCAGGATCTTAACGCCATTTCGCCTCAACAGTGCTACCGTTTCATTTAGACCGCCGGAACCTACTGTTGGATCCTGTCGACCATCCGTTACTATCACTATAGTCCTTGGAACCACAGCGCGAGACGAACCAGATGGGGAGAACAGCTGCGAGGCTGCGACTTCTAGAGCTTGATTTATCTGGGACCTTCCACCCAAGAAAGGCAGAGTTTCGACACTTTGTGTGAGAAAATCTCTGTTTTGTTGGTTAGAGAAATTTACGGTGACTTCTGTTTCGTTGCCGTAAGATAGTAGGCTTACACGACTCAAGTTCCCTGATATAGTAAAACTTCTTATAAGAGCCTTAACAAAGGCTTTCTCCCTCTGGAAGTTGAAGGCACTAATGCCTGCGGACGTGTCAACTAGGATAGCAGCTTCCATAGGATAAATGATCCGTTTTGGTTCTAGAAGAATTGTAGAGGCGAAAAATTTTATTAGTAAAGGATCACTTTTCCGCGGCTGCGAACATCGATGTTAAACACAATAATGTACATACTCATTTAAGCGTAGGGGAACTAACGAGAGTGATTTAAACTTTTTCCTTTTTAATATGGATTTCATGTTTCCGTGCCTTTTTACAGTAATAGATCAAAGAAGACGTAAAATTGTGGTAAGAATTGTTCATGTAGTTTTGTTCAATATAAACTCGTCTGTGATCCATTACTAAACCGAAGCATGGCAGCAAAGCCGCATTCGCTGACCATAGGGCGAGGGTATGCACCCTTTCACGATAAACTGAATTGCAAATTTATCTTTTGTTCAACTTTAAGATCTTCAAATTCATTCTACGACCAGAAAGTAGGTTAAAGCACATTCTGGACTTCGCTAAACTTGAAGGAGACAGCGACGAACTTTGAAGGAACAATGACAGCAGCGGGGACAGAAAGTCCAAATATATTTCATTTTTCCAAATGCCAATAAAGCTAAATCATGGCTCGTTCCGTAGCGAAGGAGATAGCACAAATAAAAAGGTCATTTTAGGTTATAATATTTTAATGAGGGAGGAAATTTATTCATCGATGGAAATCCGACGTCATGGGCTATTAATGCATTCGCGTCAGTCAGTGCGAATCGTTCGCATCTTTCACTGTGACTAAATGGCACCTTCTTCTTAATGACTTAAATGCACTCGGAAATGGTGCAGAACAGTGTGCCTTAAGACAATAGCACCGAGTCTAAACTTATCTTCAAAGAAGATAAAAGTTGGTCTGAAAAAGGCCAGGATAGTTAATTTACAAGTGCACAATAAATCCACACTTTGACACTTGTCTATTGAAATTGCCATGTGAACGCTGCTGTAATTCTACATCAAACTTTTAATGTATCATATAATGATGGATTTTGCAAAGTTCTCTTACCTGCAGCTTTACATGCCAGATGCGTAACGTCCTCTACCAATTCAGAAAGGCTTTCAAAGGACTCTGTTCCTAAAATATGTTCCTCGCTTCCGACTAACACACGCAAATCTTGAAGATCACTGTCTCGCCCTACACCTACAGCAATTAATTCCACACCCTCTGTTTTTAATGGTGCAGCTGCCTTTCTGAGAGTGTCATAATGCAAAGCGTTTGAGCCCGATACCTTTGTCAAAAGAACGGCCACCTTTGGGATTCCAGGCCTAGCCCCACCGTCCAAGGTAAACAAGTCAGTAAGGATAGATTCAAGTGCCACCTCAATTCTGGGAGTTCCTCCCATAAACTGGAGCTCATCGATGGCATATTGCAAACTTTGAGCGGTGGTATTTTCCTGAAGGGCAACTGTAAGGTTTGCCCGAGCACTGTAAGAAATCAAACCTACACGAGTCCCAGTGACGGTCAATGCCAGAGCACTCGACACAAGTTTGGTGAACTCCTTCTCTCTCTTAAAACCAGCCTTTCCAGCGCCATCTGACGAATCCAACAGGAAAGCAATATCCATGGGAATCAGACAAGACGGCCCTCGTTTCCCTGGCAAAGAGAAAAAAAGATTAATGGTTACCACCAAAATGTATAGAATATTTAACAACGAATCAAGACTTTATAAATTTAGTAAAAATCTTTGTGTATATACTTAACAACAAGCACAAATCCAACAAACAAACGCAGCATTAAACAATACAGACCTTAAAACTACTACACACATGTAATAATAAATTAGACTAGTTCAGTTAAGCTAACCTGTGGAAACCAATGAACATCCCAAATATAGAAATAATCACTCAATATAATGACTCATAATAGTTTAAAAATCCCCCCCCCACCACAACGTTTAGGTGCTAGGGAAATACAACAGAAAAAAAAATTTGCTATCTTATCTATTTGTTATTTGTCCTAATTGTCTCATTTGTCTTAAGGCTTCCTCAAAGTTATGTCAGAGGAAAAATGGTTCTTAAATTGCACCTTTCTGAGAGAAATTTTGTCGAATGAGCGACGTCTTCGTCTGGAAGTCTTGACAGTTTTACGGTACATTTTTCGCGTACTTTTATTTTCATCCGTGTCAAATGTTCTCCATTCCTAAAAAATCCATACTCCTTTCTGGCTTACTCCCCTATTCCAGTGTTTTGCTTGGTGTAATTTTGCATGTCGCTGAAAAATAGGACTCGAAATATCGATAACTGAGGATTAAGTCTGCAATTTATTGAT